CGGATTGGGACACTGCCAGTCTCCAGCCCGGTGTTGGACATTGCCGCCTCCAGAAGGGTTTCCTCGGGAGCCCCGGGGCCCTCTTGGAGGGAAACCTCCTCTGTCTCCTCCACGGCCTCCCATGCGACCCATGGGTCCCCCAGGACCGCCTGGACCCCCTGGACCTGCAACAAGAAACAGCCAATCACTTCTCTGCGGCATTAGATTTACTATAGAGAAGGAAATAAAACACTCTGTAAGTCCACAGATGTCACTGTCATCATTTCGCCATCATCTAGACCGCTCAGGCATTAGCTCTTCCTAACAACTCCCAGGCCTGCTAGAGCCCATCCCAGTGCGTCGTCTTGTTTAGCTCCCACAGCAGTTCTACAAGGCTAGGCCTTCTCATATAGATGACAAAACCACGGGTAGTCTAAGTGTCGACTCTACACACCTGTTTAGTATTTCTAATCAGGTTGTCTTCACCCTAGTAATCAAATTTCTTACAGGCAAGGAGTGTACTGAAAACCTTTCTAAAACAACAAAGTAGCTGAGAGTAAATACCTCCACGGAGTGGTGGGGGCATCCCTCTGCCCTCACGCGGTGGCATACCACCCCGCATGCTGTTCATTGGAGGCTTCTTCCGAGCAAGAGAAACTTTAAGTTTGCTCCCTTGAAAATCTTTCCCATCAAACCACTCCACAGCAGCCTTGGCAGTCGGTGGGTCCTCATAGGACACTGTGGCATCACCTTTGGGCTTTCCTGTCTCCTTGTCCAGGTAGATGTGGATCATGGGTTGCCCAGTTCTCTTGTTCATCTTAACAACCCCACACTGCTTAAAGAAGTCTGCCAGATCATCTAGAGTCACATTGTCATTTAATCCTTGCACATAAATTGCACTGTTGTCAGAATCTTCATCGGGATCTACAGGTGGGCCTAGATCAAGATCTGGTCCTTCATCCATGGGTCCACCAGGCTTATTGAAGCCACCTCGCTCTCCAGCGCTGCCCATTCCACCGCGTCCTCCTCCCCGCCCACCTCTGCTCATGCCTCCACGATCAAATCCCCCTCTTCCCCTGCCCCGGTTATCAGGGCCACTCATGCTCCGGTTCTCTCCTGGTCCGGAAAATCCTCCAGACTCCTGCCCATAAACACCCATGCTACTGGGGTGGTCCTGTCGGAATGAACTCTGCTGCCCGTAGCTGCTGCTCTGTTGGCTATATTGACTTGGAGCCTGGCTGTAGGATCCAGTTTGGGGGGGGTAACTAGTGGGAGGCTGCTGCCCATAGCTGCTTTGTTGACCATAGCTACTCTGCTGTCCATAGCTGCTCGGTTGCCCATAGGTGTTCTGCTGAGAGTAACTGCTCTGATCATAACTAGTCGGTTGTGTAGAGGAATAGCTGGTAGGAGGATAGGATGGAGGTGCAGTAACTGGCTGCATGGGGTAGCTCCCAGGTACCTGGGGATAACTGTAGTTACTCTGTCCGTATCCTAGGCTGGGCTGGTTGTAACCCCCCGTGCTAGACTGAGGTTGATTAGTCTCAGCGGGCTTGTTACCATCCTGCGGTCT